TGAAGAGAAAAGTTTGTGCTAATACTGTTGAGACACAAATGCCAGCATCTTGTACTCAGAGTAAATAAGTTAAAGATAACAATACAAATTGTTATCTTCCTGTTATCTTCTTTTGAAATTCTGTGAGGATTTTTGTTAATAAAAAATAACGAATACGAGGGAAAGCATTTTTAAGCTGTGGAGCAGTATCTAGGCCTGCAACCCCCGGAGATGCAAGGTATTTGAACTGAGCGCATTCGTCTGAATACTTTGTACCTAACATCTTTGGGTTCGCTGGTCAATATTGCTCAATGTTTGAGGCTTTGTGCTCATGTCCAAAGGACATTAATAGGAATCACTTTGTAGGCCATAGGTTATCTGCATCGTAGTTATCTACATCCGTTTTGTCCCTACAGCTCTTCATCTATTGCAGTTCCTTTAAAAACACCAGAATTCTTTCAACTTGTACTGTCTTTAACATTTTAAGGAGTGGAGTAATGAAGGATATGCAGGCCCTGGAACATGATTCTAACACTGAGCTACTCAAATTGAGTTTCACAGCTCTTTTATTTGGTACAGGGTCTACTGGGTCTCACTACACACATCAGACTCGTCCTGGTGCTCCTGTTTTCAGCCTCCCCAGTGCTGGGATTATAGGTGCGCACAACCGTGCCCAGTCTCAGTTGCTGTCTCAGTGCGCTCCAGGGAGGGGGCCAGCACAGCATTTCGGGGATCAAACCCTGGTCCCTGAGCTCTGCCTAAGCAGGAGCTTTAGTTTGCTGAGCTATCTGGCTGGCGCTAGCTCCTTTATTTGGTTGCTTAAAATTCAATATTTTGAAATTGCTTTCAGCATTCTTAATAGATACACTAGAAAACTCAAAAGCTATGGCTTATGAGAAAACATACGAAACATTTCTTTAAAAAAAACTTTAACAGATAACTGATCTTCATACTATATGATGAGAATTGGTGCCTTCTGTACCTATAGTTAGAGGTAGTGTATCACCAGTAGGGGTCTTAAAAGCAGAGCATCTTTTGAAAACTGAAAATTGCTTTCTAGAAGTTTTCCCTTTTATAATCAACTGTGTCCTTGACACTCAACGGTTAATAATGGTTAATAAACGGTTCCTTCCACTCAGCAGTTAATAATGACAGTGATGCAGACAGGCAGGTGGCTACATGTTTTCACTCTCTGTATTAAGGGTAAGAACTAACCAGAGCTTCCGTCACTTTCAAAGTCATGTTGAGGTGTCTGTGTTTCTGACTATTGCTCAGATGCTGGAAGCAACCAGCCTACAGCACCA